TGAACTCTTAAGTCTTAATTCCCGGAAACATTTTATTCATTTTAATTTAAAAGCTTTTTACAGTAACTTTCTTTTTATTATATCAAGTCTTATTTATTGAATTGTATTGTTTTTTCGTACCATGTTTTATAAGGGTTCTTTTATGATAAGTTCATTTATCTATTTATTTTACTGTAATGATTATTTTACCAGTTTTAATTTCACAAAATATCTTTATCTTTAACGTTAATTTTATCAACATGACAATCTTTGTGTCTGTTGGACTGCTCAGGAATCCTCTGGTTGGGCCTACCAGATAGGTAGTTGTGAAGAGTGATATGATATTGGTAGTGAGAGATATTTGACCAGGTATTTTTTTCGGAGAGTGACAAAGTGATTCGGTGCCATTTTTATTTATTCATTATTTTAATGTTGTTATTTTTTGAGGGGGGCTTATTGCTTTTGCTCTTGTTTCATTGCTTTCAATGTTTTTTTTTTATTGTTTTAAATTTGTTTTACCCTGCTGTTTTAATAAATGTTTTATATTACTTATGTCGCCATTTCCCACGCAAACCAACATGTAAAAGGAAAGAGGGATTATGGTTCAGTGATCAACTATTTTTTATTATTATTATTATGCCTTAGTAATTACTCTACTCATTTGCATATACGCACACGCCTCTCCTCGGCTCAATTCACGCTCACCAACCTCTATACTCTCACACCCAACACGTACACTATACACACACGCTATACTCGCATACACAATCTATCGCTCCTTTCCTCACATCTACACTATTCCCACAACACTGCGTTCCCATGTGTAAACTAAATGGGTGGTGGCAGTGACGCTACTCTTTTTCACTCTTGCGAGATATAATTGTATTTGCGGTTCATTACAAGAGAGAGGGGGGGGGGGTAGAGGGAGAGAGAGGGGGAGGAGGTATAATAGTCTCTGATTTGAGATACAAGAGAACCAGTTTTATTTGAATAGACTATCGTTGCATATTTCACATCATGAATAAATGATAACATATATATATATATATATATGTATATATATATATATATATATTTATATATGCACACACACACACACACACACACACATATATATATGTGTGTGTGTGTGTGTGAGTATATATGCATATATGTATGTGTACACACACACACACACACACACACACACACACACACACACACACACACACACACACACACACACACACACACACACACACACACATATAAATACACACACATATATATATATAGAGTGTGTGTGTGTGTGTGCATGTGCACATATACATACATATGTATATATATGTGTGTGTGTGTGTATACACATATATACAATAAAAAAAATACAATAATATATATATGTGTATATATATATATATATATATATATATATATATATATATATGCACACACACACACACACACACACACACACACACACACACACACACACATACATACACACACACACACACACACACACACACACACACACACACATACATACACACACACACACACACACACACACACACACACACACACACACACACACACACACACACACACACATATATATATATATATATATATATATATATATATATATACACACACACACACACGCACACACATACATACATGCATATATGTATGTATACACACACACACACACACACACACACACACACACACACACACACACACACACACACACACACATATATATATATATATATATATATATATATATATATATATATATATATATACATATATATATACATATATATATGTACAATACATTCTCTCTCTCTCTCTTTCTCTCTCTTCTCTCTCTCTCTCTCTCTCTCTCTCTCTCTCTCTCTCTCTCTCTCTCTCTCTCTCTCTCTCTCTCTCTCTCTCTCTCTCTCTCTCTCTCTCTCTCTCTCTCTCTCTCTCTCTCTCTCTCTCTCTCTCTCTCTCTCTCTCTCTCTCTCTCTCTCCAGCCTTACCTATATCAATATTTGATGTTATCTTAAATAGAGATACTCGTATTTTTTCTCCTAAACATTTAACCCTGCAGCCGCTATAAAATAAAGTACACCAGAGACAAAAGTGATAAGTATAAAGAACATCCAAAAAAGTGGATAAATATAAGGAAATAGTCATAAGATAACAAAGAATAACTAAATCAGAATACACACGCAATACAATACAAATAATACAATAATATATATATATATATAATAACACTACATATGAATCCCATGAAATATACGAATATAAAAGTGATAAGTATAAAGAACATCCAAAAAATGTGATAAATATAAGGAAAGCGTCATAAAGTAACGAAGAATAACTAAATCAGAAACATCTGCATAAAAGTTTTAACCCAGTACTCTCTGAAAACAAGTGACAATCGGGTATCAACAAACGTTACAGCTCTCGGGTCGCGGCAGCTCTTGAAGTGTAATTTTCTCTTTTTCTTTTCGTTAAATAGTAGCTATTAAAACAAGATTAAATTTGGTGAGTGAAATAACATGTTCAATAACTATTATAGTCTCTTCTAAGTATTAAAGTTTTAATCTTTATCCAGAGTTATCATTGGAGTACAGTAGTGTTTGTTTTTTGTTGAATAAATGTGTTTTATTTTTACTGTTTATTACTGAATAGGCTATGATAAGTGTTT